TTTTGGCAGTGTGACAATATATTTATATACATGGTTGTAAATATCTCCGTTTCCTTTATGCGTACATATACTATAGAATAATAATGAGCCCTCAAAACTTCCACGTACTGTGTTAGTACAATTTAGTATTCTAATCACCTAGCTCGGGAGTACAGGTGTAAAAATAGGTTTCCTAAATGGAATCGAATCTATTTAACATTGGGTGACATGAATATTCCCCGCTTTACTCCATAGGTGTTATACTATAAGTTGACCTGAACAAGAATAACCACAATCATGACTTCGTAATGATGGCTGTCCATTTGTACAAACTAGTTTAATGGGCGGTTTTTATGTGAGTTGTGACAATGGCGACATTTTTTTTATGGACTTAAAATAAAATATATATTTTGTGTTTGACCTGGAAGCTGGATCACCTTGATCCGAGATGTAGTGAGGTGTATTCTCAGGTATGGTAGAGAGACATACACGACACAGATTCAAATCTCGAGAAAGATGATGAACGCGATTGAGGAATATGTTTACAGAGCTGAATGGGTGAAAATAAAGTGCCTTCAAGCAACTTCTATAAAATAGATAAAGAAGATTTTAAAGTGTGTCATAAAATGGGCGAAATTTTCAACAGAACTTTTTTATTTTTTAATTTATGATTTTTTTTATCAATTTTATTATAGAGTATCATCTAGAAGTCAAAGCATGAATAAAAAAAAATCCTCGCAAAAATATGAAAAATGTGCTGCTCTCAGATTATCAATGTAATCTACTATACAAATCTCTTGATACATTCATTCAAATAAACCAAGGATCGTCTTCTCCCCAAGGCTTCAATACATACACTAATCAGCAATCCCTTGGCTAGAAGTTAGATGTTACAGATTTGAGCTGTGGAGATATTTCGTTTAGTTCAATGAACGATTGGCCTATTTTGACTCTATAAGGAATTAAAGAATTACTTCCCTGATAAAGAGAACTATTATAAGGCATTGCTGATTTGCTTCTTTTCGAGAATGAAGGGATTTGAGACATGCAGTAAATTAAATTTATCATAATACAGGTGGATTAACACTGGTCCCTAGGATTGTGATATTATAATTAAGCCTATAGAATTCCACACTTTTCCTGATGTGCCCTATTCATACATATAAGAGGATTATTACGCTCTGATTAACCAGCCAAGGTCATTGACTTGCTGTGATATGTTGACTCCTTTCGGAGGAATATTGTACTAAATACACTTTCATCTCAAAACATTGAGAAACTTACTGGAAGTTAGAACAGAGAAACATGTCCATCTTTAAGTTAAAATGGACCAGACGATTGAAATGGAAGAAGAAGATCAGCCTGCAGCCTCCAAATAGTAAATTCAAAATGCGAAGCAGCAAAAACCAGTGTGCCAGCTGAGAAAGAATGCAATGCGTGCACGAAATAAAATTTATTACGTTCTGGTTTGTTACGTTTGCTAACTTAATAGACATATACTTGTATATCCATTCAAAGGTTTATATATATACATGTACATGTGATGCCTTGTGGTTATAATTATGGTTTTCAGTGAACAAAAAGTAATTGAAAAATAATACACAAAAAAAAAGTAACGAGAAGATATCAAATCTGCATGTCTTTCTTTTGTGTGTGCAAAAACAGAAATACGATACTTGTTTCTAAACACCTGTCAATGTGTGAGGGATGAACACACAGTTTTTAAGTGCACATCTTGGGTTTGCATTCTGCGGTGAGTTTGTGTAGAGCCGAGCGTTTTGTTACTGTAAACAGAGACCAATTACGCATGCTTTCCGCACATGCTGCTCACATGGAACGGTAGACCTCCAGCAGAGATAAAAACACAAGACAGGCATGTTCCTGCCGGTTGGCAGCACTGACATGCTAGCTTACAGAGAACTTCACGGACTGAAACATTTCAAAAGTCAATCTAAACCGAGGGTGAAAAGATCAGGTCTCGGTAATCAAGCGTTTTATATTGTCTTATCCAGGCCTATTGTTATGGTTCAAAAATATGTTTACATATTTGAAATGATACGTTTCGCAGGCGATTTTCAGGTTTTATATGTGGTGCTATTTAAAGCAGCAGTTACAGGCCCACTGAGCCTTTTGTGATGGGGTTGATTATTACTGAGATGCTGACAGACCTGTCAGTATACATGTACCTGGTGACCGGGTATGGCATATCAGTCAATATAGATCTAGATATACCCCGCCCAACACATATCTGTGTTACGCTGATAAACCGATATGAAAACAATATGTGTTACTATTTCTACAAGAAGTAAATGTCCTGCAAGTTCGATGGACAGTGTGAACACATATCCAGGAAAAAAGAATCGGTTCAACTGATGAACCATTGAAAACTACATGCGAATGATTTGTTCAGATTGTTCTTTGAGTTACTTCCTGATTGTTAAGATCAGTGGCCGGTCAGCACTGTACCAGTTCTATTTATAGCTTGATATCATAATACCAATTCTATTTATAGTACCAGTTCCATTGATAGTGTGACGTTAGTGTCATAATAGCAGGCCAAATGGGCCCGTATTGTTCATCTTTCATTCAATCTGTTAGCAAGCACATCACATCTGTGACCTTCAAAGTAGGTTCAGGCCAAAGCTATTAAAACAACTGTTTAGATTTCATTACTCTGGACCCTTGCCTTTGTTGCTAGGGGATTTTCACTTATTATATATACTCATGCTACTTTCAAAGTTGGCCAAGGTCATTCATTTAGACAAACTTTATTAGTATCTTTTCATTTAGAAGTTATTTAAAGAGTTCAAAACATATGACCCCTGTGATCTTGAACGTTGGTCAAGGTTTCATTGAACAAACTGGAAAGCCTTTATTCTGTATATATATGTTGCATTCTATTTTATAACATTCAAAACTTGATGACATTTGTATTAGGGACATGATAGTAAATATGGCCTTGTCATCTATATACCCAGTATTCATCTGTATAGACCTACACGGTCAAAGTACTGTACCTACGGTAGCCCCGCCCAATGCAACAATTACACACAGTCAGAATGTCAACTAAGCTGTGATGAGGTGACTGAGGTCAGGGTTAAAACAGTCTATCAATCATTGACCATCCCGGCTCGGACACGGACACGTATACAAGGACAATTAAACTCAAGGTCAATCATTTTGGTGTTGAGATATGTAAGATTGCATGCTTGCTTGCTCAATAAAAAAACATAATTTGGTCACAAGTCAACATTCTGCTGTATTTTTTTCCCTAGTAAAATTATGATTGCTAAGTCATAGCCTAATAATAGTGTTTGCCATATGTTCGTTTTTATCTCCATTTCGTTCCCGTTGTAGAACCTGCAGCTGTTAGTCCTTGCGTCACTCAGTTAACTCAATCACCCCTGAAATTTCATAATGCACTAATCCAATCTTTGAATTGGAAGAGTTCAAATGTGTCTTCAGGGGTGAATGACTTAAACAAGACACTTACAAATCAAGATCCGCTGGTACACAATGATTTTGCAGATTTTATGACAGTTTTCACGAGAGCAGATAATATACATACAATGCAAGCTAGTGGAAAAAAAAGTAAAAATAAGTTGTTGTGCTTTGCTGTACTAGTCGGTGAAACTTGAGACCACTAGTGATGGTGTGTCCGGTGTACTTATTGAAGAAATCAGTTCTAGTGTTACATATTATGATGAAACTAGACCCTAACCAGATATTGTGATGTGCTCTTACATTGGTCACCCTTGTCAAGTCTAATCGGAAAATTTAGGAATACATTTAGATCTTATCTTTTCATTTCACATGTGGTTGAGTGGTAATTTTATCCCCCCAAAAAATTTCCATATTAAATATAAAAAAACTGATTGTCCAATTCATTTTGATGCACAGAAATATGAGTTGATTTGAGTTAATTTAAGGAAGTATCTGTGGTCTTTTTTCGACCCGTTTATCTATAGGTAAGATTTGTCCCTATTTTTGACCTATCTAAAGGTATCTCAGTCTCTTTGTGGAGGTAACGCGCGCTAAGTTCGTCTCTCCGCCCTCAAGGGTACAGATTTAATGTCTAATGCCCCAATAATCGCTTGTAACTACAATACCATGCCGTACAGTTTCATCCATTGCTTGTAGGAATAGTTTAAACACATGGTTGACATTTCTTCGTGTTCAGTGCTTGTCTGTACTCTGTTGAAGCTAAATCTTGTATCATGGACACTTGTCAGGTGTAACAATTCACCTGCTGGGGCTGTGTCCCCTTTTGTCCATATTCTGGGGCCTTAGACAAGGGACATCTTTACAGCTGGTTTGGGGCTTGATGGGAAAACTCATTATCCAATATCTGGCAGCTAGGTGGTCTATTCCTTGTTGTTCACAAAATTACAGCCAATTTACATATAGCTGTCCCATATTCTATACATAGAAAGTGATTAAAGTATAATGAACCTGTCTGGGTTAAGCCATGTAATAAACCTGTTCTAGATCTTAATACAGGCACTGTAAACATTCCTCTACAGGCAGAAATACAAACGAGACTGATGAAAAAATATGATAAATTATAAAGACAGTAAAAAGGCTTGTGATTAATTCACAATTTTTTTCTTCAAATTTCGTTTAAAACAAATATTTAACTTGAAGTAAAATGTTATGTAATTTTTGGACACTGTTTGGATTTGTTATTGAGTCAATGTTTACACTTCTAAGAATAATGTTCCTGTCTCTTTGTATGTTGAGAGTAACACTGCGAGCGTGTTATACTGACTCTTTGTACCGAGGAAGCAGTGCTGTGTAAAAAGTACAGGTTATCTTATTGAAGTGACATACATACGCCCTGACTGGGCAACATTAAAAACTCACTTTGATCCGACAGATACGATGTACATAATTACCTCGCGGGGTGTTATTATGCAAATGAGGGTCGTCACATGTGACTGTGTGTGACATCAGCGGTTTTCGTTGAGAGAAAGGATGTCATGCTTCAAGGTCAAGGACGAACTTCAAAATAGTTTTTATCGTATATTGTGTAACACCATAAGACAAGTCTCACATGTGTTTGGTCTGGGAATGTTTAAGTCCCGTTGTAGTGTAAAGTCTGGGAATGTACGTGTAACACTTGAATTATGGAGAAAGCATCCTGCCGTTAGTTTAATTTTCAATTCAAAATATTTCAAATATACTGGTAAGTGTGCTGGCTATATAGCTATAGCATAGCTGACGTTCCTAACACTGTGTTGAGGAGAAGGGAAACCTTTAGGTGCTGTGGAATAATTTGCAGGATTTATGCTTTTCGTAATGCCAGCTGACATTTGAACCTGTTTTTCTCCACCTGAGTAATACTGCAACAGTTATGACAGGTGTGTGATATGCCTGGGCTGAGATGACAGGTAGGGAATATCGCCACGCAGGGATACACCTGACTCTACCATTTAACACTGCCTAGTTCCTGTCTCATTTACCGCCCTATTTAGGACTGTCCAACGATGTCCACTTTGTGAACAGTCAATTGACCACTCCTGGATCCAGGATACAGGAAATTTAGGACAAGTTTTCAGTGACCTGGTTAAAATTTTCATTGTGATGCTATGAACACCTGTGACATTACAGGTAAGAAATGTGGAGATACAACGACTGTTTTATTACCTCAAAGTTAACATACGATTTATGAATCTTTGAAATTCAGCATTACTAGTGTCTCGGGTGAAAATTGGAATTCTCCAGATTTTCGGGGACTAATTGCAATTCTGTTCATTACCTATGTGTTAACCTGAAGAGTATACCCGTGTTTCACCTGTGACGTACCTGTACCCGTGATTAACCTTCGTACAGCTGACCATTACAGTGATGACTTGAGTGTCTATTGTACGTAAGGTTATCAGGTTACTAGTAAGATTCCAGCCAGGTGAAATGTCATTGATTTGTTGATGTAGTGTGTTACACCTGTACTTTACCTGTGCATGTAGACAAGTCGTCACAGAAGGTATACATGAAGACAGGTGTATAATGATGAGGACATGTGTGTGTATAATGATTGTATACAAACACTGGCGAGTCAGTGACAGGGTAGCTATGTTAGGGGGTGGACCTACCCAACACCTGGCCAACTTTATCTAACTCCTTATAGCTGACCATACGGGTCAGTGCTAATTACAACTAGATCATTAACTAATTAGTCAACTGGACATGTGTGTGCTGTGACTGGTGACTGAGTTTCTACACCTGTTATCTACTATAGTGTGTATAACTGCCTATAGAGTGCTGAGGACGGGGACCTGTGACCGTGTGTAGAAGCCCCTGTGCTGTATAAATACTAATCATGGCACCATTCCAGTGGATTAAATGTCTCTAACCTCAACATGGCCTGAGGTCGGAATCCACCATTGTCAGCGAACTGTGTATCGGACCTTGTTCAATACCGTTTTACCTGGATAATCAAACGGACACAGATTGGAGGGAGCTTTTCATATATCATGTCCTTACATACCAGATTTTCATCAGTCCACGTCGGTCGTGGATCGCTGGGGCATGGTGAACTGTAAATAAGTATACCATATCGCCCTCTAATGTTTCATAATCATGTCAGGAGATGAGTGATTGTGTTTAAATTTCTCACCAACATAATTGGAGCCGATCCATTTCCGTATACATGTGATTATTTGTTTAGTCAGATATCGGTGACGCAGACAAGTCAGTCAAGTGCTGACCCAGGGTTAAAAAAATATTGGAATTTAGAAGAAAAAATATATATTGTCAGTGTTAACATTATGGATAAATGGTGCTGGTTGGTAATAAGAGGTATGTGAGAGCATTGGAAGTAAGTGTGTGTATTCTGTGTTGTATGGAGATATCCACCGACACTGTACGTGATAGATGTCATTCAGACCTGTGGTTGTGCAATGAAATTGCCCGTGAAATGTGGAGAATGTGAAAAATCGTAAAAAGTGAAAAGTTCAAAATTGTTTCTCCTTCTGCATCGTAGAGTTTGTAATGTATTAATGATGTACAGAGAACAGCAGTTCAGAGAAGTTCTTTGTCGGGTTAATGTTCACGTCGGATTAATGTGATTCGGGAATTAATGTATGGGATATGCTCCACATCGACAGGATTTCTGGTGACACAATGAAATTTTTGGATTCAGTGTATCGTACATGGTTGGTGGTAAATTTATGATGCTCAAGCAAAAATGAAAAAGAAAATGGTATCATAGCATTTCTCATCAATGTCAAGCTTCTGAGTGAGGGAGAATGAGTTCGGATCGATCCCCCTCTGAAGAACTCAACGGAGACCTTTGGTCATCACCGTTAATGCACTACACATCGCCGTTTGATGACTTCAAGGAATTGTTTGAAGACATCGATGAAAATGACAATGTCTTCCAGTTTCCAGAAACACCCAAGACGTCCAAATTAAAGAGTAAGTTCAATAATGATATTTCAAGGAATTTCAAAGTAATTTATTCAAGATGATAGTCAATGTTTATGTGATGAAGTGGATGACAAAGTTGCTTTCAGATCCGAAGTAGTCTGCAGTTCTAATGTTTTGGCTGCTAATTACTGACCCATATATTCCTGACTGACCGATAGGGAAATGGTTTTAACTGACCTTCAGGCATTGTTTCTAGCTGACCGTTGGTGACATTCTTGCTGACCCTCAGTGATGGTTTCTATGTTACCCTTGGGATATTTTACCTCAGACCCTTGGGGATGGTTTCTCCCTGACCCTTGGTGATAGTTTCTATCTGACCCTCAAGATAGGTTTCTATTTGACTCTTCTAGGATGATTTCTATCTTACCATTTGGAATGGTTTCTGTTTTAGGGATGAGTTAGGGATCAGGTGACCTTTACAATACTTATGTATAGCCACACACAATAAGCTGTGATTTCTCCAGGGTCATGTTTACCCATACATAAACGTCACATCCAGAATTTCGGCATCTGTCTGCTAATTAATTAGCACCTTCAAAGAAACATCTGCTTGGTTTTATTTTAGAGACGTGTGCCTTGTAACATTTCTTTATCCGCAGCACATCAAGTACACAGGCGCATATGTATCAGATATATATTTACATATACATAGTAATATCGAGAGTATATATTCATACAAATACTTCGTAGTGTATTGTATATATATTAATATATATACACATGTTAGTGTTTTTGATGTATATATATATATTTAATTAGTCATCTGCACTGTTATTAAGATTAATTCCAATTTAGTATCACGATGAAAACCTAATTGCATAACTAATGTTCTTCACTAGCGTAATTGGGCATGTTTTGATGCAAATAAGGAAGCGAGTTAATAAACATCAAATGATTCATGAATATTCATGGAATAATATACTATTGTATTATCAATCATGGAAATTAATTATGCAGAAATGTGAAGTTTTAGCATGATAGAATATGTGTTGATACATTTTGTTGACAAGGATTTAAGAACAGCGACATATTACGTGATAGAAACGTCGATGGCCGCAAAAATGTGCAAAGGACGCTTCAAAGCTTTTGTTCTGCTGGTTGTTGGCCCGCAGTGATTGACATTGATAACTACAAATCAAATGTGTAACAGACTCAATTAGACCTAACTGGAATGACATTGCTGTGAAGGTTAGGACACATATCTGGCGTTGTCCAGGTATGATAGAGTTGTAGGCAGCCTGGGGGAACGGTGCAATATTCAATTGTCCTGAGGTACTGCTTTCAACGGTCTCACCTGCCCAGAATTAGCATAGGCATGTAGGGCTGGCTTTACTCTGTATAAATTCTTACAGGATATTAATAAAATATTCAAAAGTTAGCAGCTGTTTTAATTGGTAGGGTGTTTTAGTAATCCCTGTAATAGATTTAAGTAATCCAGAAATGATCAGTAAAAACAAAAATATAAAATGTATATGCTGTTAATTGCATGATCAAAATTCATTTATTGGGGGAAAGAATCTTTGTTTCCGTTTTCCATAGCTAGATTATAAAATAATCTAAGACTTTGATGTCTTCACAGAACTATAGGTAATCCTAGTGACAAATATCTATGTTAACACTGGTGACAAATATCTATGTTAACACGGGTGACAAATATCAATGTTTACACTAGGGACAAATATAAATGTTTACACTGGTGACAAATATCAATGTTAACACTGGTGACAAATATCAATGTTAACACTGGTGACAAACAAATATCAATGTTTACACTGGTGACAAATATCTATGTTAACACGGGTGACAAATATCAAGGTTAACACGGGTGACAAATATCAATGTTAACACTGGTGACAAATATCAATGTTTACACTGGTGACAAATATCAATGTTAACACGGGTGATAAATATAAATGTTAACACGGGTGACAAGTATCAATGTTAACACTGGTGACAAGTATCAATGTTAACATGGGTGACAAATATCAATGTTTATACTGGTGACAAATATAAATGTTAACACGGGTGACAAATATTGATGTTTACACTGGTGACAAATATCAATGTTAACACGGGTGACAAATATAAATGTTAACACGGGTGACAAATATTGATGTTTACACTGGTGACAAGTATCAATGTTAACACTGGTGACAAATATCAATGTTAACACGGGTGACAAATATCAATGTTTACACTGGTGACAAATATCAATGTTTGTTTTTTTACATTTACTGGATTCAATATTTTCAAGTCACCAATGAAGTGGAAGATGTCCGGGTCATCAAACTTAAATCAATATAGGTGTTTTTCTCATGTTGATATTTCCACCACCTAGGTTTGTAATCAAATTAGTCTGTGTGGTGATGGGCTGGCTGTCTGTTTAGCTTACTCTAACATACAGCCGTTGGGTTTATAATTAAAACGCCAGGGTAAAACTTGGGAGATGTGCCAGTGGGTCTATTCTACAGTGTATTAGTATATACTTCAGTGTTGAAATATAGTACACGCCTTATCACTGATAATCAATTGAAATTTGACTACCATCAGTTAAAGCTCTAGTGTTATCAGAAACTGGGTTTTGTACTCCGATTAAAGATCTTGGCCTTTTTTTAATGCATAATTTTGTTGTACAAGGGTCATACCTTGTCAGAAGATTCCACACCGCTGGCACCATGCTGTGACAGGCTCAAGGTCTTACTACTAACGTTATGAACCTACTACTGCCTTGATGAATCTGTCACACATTTCAATTAACCTCACCATTTCAACTTCAAATGCTGTTGGTGCTTGCCATGGTAAAACAAAAGTTGTTATTTTTGTCTTTAGATTTCTATAAAGCTTGTTTGCAGATTGCAAGTTTGCCAACAAAAACAGCATAAAAATGGGTGCAAGGCCAGAGTGTCTTGTTTGTAGTGTCCTGTGGCAGCCAAACATGACAGAAGGCAATTTTCAGAAGTGAAGATCCTATAATTCAATGGAGAAAACGGTTATGTCAGGCTTAGTTGATAAATTGAGGCAAACTGGCCTCATGACTTCAGGAACATGTACTGTGCATTAGGGATGAGATGTATTGGCTTATACATCTTGGCCCCATGGCTTCAGAGATATTTGATGCCAGGTAGGGGCAAGATGTCTTTTCCTCACGACTTCAGGGAAACAGCAATGCCTGGAAGGGGGTTAGACATCTTGGCCTCATGACTTCAGGAACATTAGATGCCAGGTAGGGGTGAGGGACACAGTAATACCTGTAGGGGTGAGATCTCTTGGCCTTATGTCTTCAGGGACACAGTAATACCTGTAGGGGTGAGGTCTCTTGGCCTTATGACTTCAGGGACACAGTAATCCCTGTAGGGGTGAGATCTCTTGGCCTTATGACTTCAGGGACACAGTAATACCTGCAGGGGTGAGATCTCTTGGCCTTATGACTTCAGGGACACAGTAATCCCTGTAGGGGTGGGATATCTTGGCCTTATGACTTCAGGGACACAGTAATACCTGCAGGGGTGAGATCTCTTGGCCTTATGACTTCAGGGACACAGTTATACCTGTAGGGGTGGGATATCTTGGCCTTATGACGTCAGGGACACAGTAATACCTGTAGGGGTGAGATCGCTTGGCCTTATGACTTCAGGGACACAGTTATACCTGTAGGGGTGGGATATCTTGGCCTTATGACTTCAGGGACACAGTAATACCTGCAGGGGTGAGATCTCTTGGCCTTATGACTTCAGGGACACAGTTATCCCTGTAGGGGTGGGATATCTTGGCCTTATGACTTCAGGGACACAGTAATACCTGGAGGGGTGAGATCTCTTGGCCTTATGACTTCAGGGACACAGTAATACCTGTAGGGGTGAGATCTCTTGGCCTCATTATTTCCGCGACATGTAATACATTGTAGGAGGTATCGGTATAGAAAACGCTATTGACAGGCTGTGGTTTTGTGGGTATACTGACAACATCTTCACGCTTGACACTTGCGGAACTGTCATGATTGAGGTCTTACACCCCATTAGATAACGGGTGCAGCCAGCTAATTATCGACAGGGTAGACCGAGTGTAGGTTTATAAGCATTATACCGGGCCACTGTATTATACAAGTGGGCATCCAAGACAGAGGGATATTAGTTAAAATGTCAAGTATTTAACATAGTATCCACATACAAAAGATGTCATTTACTGTTTTGAAATAAATTGTACGGTAACGAGTCTAGAAACATATCTGCCAGTGGTGGCATATGGTGAAAGGATCAGTTTGGGTTGTTGAGGTGTAATCAAGGGATATATTACTAATGGGTGATAGGTGAAGTGGCGCCTGATAATTCCTGAGTGTCGAATCGTGGCCCACCGTCAGGTATCTCCGACTCGGAACAAACAGGCTTAGGGGGATGTCGTAACGGTTTTTTGTTGGGTACCAGCCAAGGCATTGGTGATCATAGTGTTCCCGACTTATCACCACTGCTAACAAATCTTAGACAAATTATTTGTTCTAGATGATAAGTGGGGGTATCATACCCAGTATGTATGGCATCCAGGGTCTGTGATGGGGACAGCCTGGAGATATACTAATTCTCACTGACCAAATGTAGCCAGTCGCCATGTTATTGGACAAAACTTCATAACAAAAAAAATAAATGTATTCATGAGTACATAGTTTCAGCATTGTGCTCCAAATGTTTGCTAGGACCTGAAATTGACAATTGATATCAGAAAAGTAGCTCTCAGTTACAAAAACGAGATATTTAGATTTTCACATATTTTTCAGTCAAAGCATGATACTGTTAAAGGCTTTCATATAGTACTACATGACATGTGTAATATTTCGTTGAGACTATTTCATGATGGATCATGTTGAGTCAGACAACAGATGTCAACATGTCCTTTAATTTGCTCTATTTAAAAAACCAAAACAATAATACGTGGGGACGATGAGATTTGCCAGAGGGAAATATTGATCACTGATTATATATAGTGTTATCTGGGGC